CCCATCTGGCCCGGGCGGAAAATAGATGGATCTTGGAGAATGACAGTGGATTATCAATCAGGTGGCAACGCCCACTGCAGCTACAGTTCTAGATACGATTCCGTTACTTGAGGAGGTTAACACATCCCCTGGTCCCTGACATGCAGCTATTGATCTGGCAAATGATTTTTTTTCTATTGGTAAAGACTACCAGGAGCAGCTGGCTTTGTCTGGCAAGGTCAGCAGCCACCTTTCGCCATCCTGTCTCAGAGGTTTATCCGACTTCAGTTCAGCCCTATGCCATCATTTAGTCCACACCGACCTTGATCACATTTCTCATAACATTGCATGGGTCCACTGCATTGATGATGACATGATGCTGATTGGGCCTAAGGAGCAAGAAGTAGCAACTGTTCTAGACATAGCGGTAAGATCATGTGTTTGAGGGTAGGAGATAAATTCAGCAAAAACTCAGGAGCTTTCCACCTCACTGAGATTCTTGGGGTCCGGTGGCATGGGACAGGTCAAGAGAGCTTTTCTGGGATAAAGGGTAACTTGTTGCATCTGGCCCCTTTCACAACCAAAAAAGAGGCACAATACCTACTGGGCCTCTTTGGATTTTGGAAGTAACAGATTTCTCATATTGCTCATGGAATTTGTTGGTTTTACCATGTTCCTTCTCATCCCGAAGCAGCAGGCCCAACAGAATGGTGGAATGGCGTTTTGAAGACTCAGTTACAGCACTCCCTGGGTGGCAATGCCTGGCTGGGCAGGGGCAGTATCCCCAGGTTCTTAGGCTGTGCTAGTCTAGGGGTTCTTGATCCAAAGGGAGGAATGCTTCCTTCCAGCAGGAGAACAATGATCTATCTATTCAACTGGACATTAAGACTGCTGCCAGCTTTGGGCTCCTGTGATTCAACAGGTAAGGGAGGAATGGCTGTACTGGTGGGTGTGACTGAGCCTCATTACCAGGGGGAAACTGGGCTGTGACTGCACCATGGAGGGAAGAGTATGTTCACACAGGACATCTAGGGGATCTCAGTGCCACTAAGTCCTGTGATGGAAGTCAGTGGAAAACTATAATTCAATTCAGGCAGGATAGCCCATGGCTTGGATTCTTCAGGAATAAAGGTTTGGGCCACCCCACAGGCAGAGCTGTGACCAGCTGAGGGGCTTGCTGAGGGCACAGGGAGTATGGCGTGGGGTAATGGGAGACAATTATAAACACCAGCTACAATCACACACTCAATTGAGAGACAAGGACTGTGATTATTACATTTCTTCCTTGTTTTGTTATGAATGTGTGTACATAAATATGTATTATAAATATATATTTAGCCAAGTTTCCTTTCCTCTTGTACCCTCTTATCATCTAACGTAAGACGTATTAAAAATGGTTAACCTTACATCACAGCATTTAAACTGTAATATAGGAAGGAGAACCAAGAACTCTGCATCCTCTTCTGGGGAGAGGGAACATGTCCTCCGTATGTGGGTTAGTTGTTTGATGTTTGATGACAGAAATACAACTTGGTTACTGACTTTATTTGGACGTTAAGTGTGCTTTAGGAAGAGGTCTATAATGCCAAGCTAACAAGTGCAGATTGTGAAGGTTAGTTTTAGGTATCAACTTAGCAAGGCTGCAGCGCCCTGTTATTCAACAGACCACAAGTCTACATGTGGCAGTGTTATTTTATAGATGTGCTTAGCACCCATCTACCATCCACTGAATCTAAATAAAGAGATTATTTTCCCTAATATGAGCAGGCCTCATCCAGTCAGTTGAAAGGCCGACCTTAAGAGCAAAACAGGGGTTTCCATGAGGAAATCAGAAGCTTTCTGCCTGAAGACTGCAGCTGCAGCTCCCTCCTGAGGTTGCCCAAACTTCGGGCCTGACCTATGGATTTTGGACCACTCACTTCCCACAATCACATAAACCAGTTCCCTGAAATACATTTAATACCTATCTATCCTGCTTCTGTTTCTTTGGCAATCCTTGACTGATAGAATTTTCTTCTCCAAATACCCTATCATCATGTTTTTATAAATTTTGTTGCTGGAATATTTTATGATTTTTGAAGTGAAAAATTAAAAAACCACCAATGTGGTTTACAGTGAAAAGGCTCATTTCTGGGATCCCTGTGCCCCAGGTATCTAGCTCCACTCCTTGGAGGCTACCAGTATGACCATGTCCTCCTCCTCATACACAATCAAACATCAATGTACACGTATATTTTTTCTTCTTATATATAAATTGCAGTACACCATGCAATTTCACATTCTGCTTTTCTCTTTGAACATAGATAGATAGAAATCTCCATAACTAAAGCACTTCTCCATTCTTTTCCCCATTGGGCAAATGTAGTAATTTATTTAACCAGTCCTCTATGATTAGGGTGACTAAATAGTTTCTCATCTAAAGAGGACACTTAAGAGTTGAAAGGAACATTCACAGGGCTGCGAGGGTGGCTGTCAGCTGAGTGACCCATTCTTGGTTTTGGCTCAGGTCAGGGTCATGGGATAGAGCCCATGGCAGGCTTGGCACAGAGTCTATTCGGGATTTTTCCCCCTCTGTCTCCCTCCCCCTCTCTCTAAAATAAAAATCTTAAAAAAAAAAAAAAAGAGAGAGAGAGAGAGAGAAAAGGAGCATTAATAATTACACAAAAAATAGCAAGTATAATCTGGTACTGTTAGGAAGTGCAGAACACAGGGCTCAACCTATCTATGATGGGATACTTAGGTCTTTTTTTTTTTTAAGATTTTATTTATTTATTTGACAGAGAGATCACAAGTAGGCAGAGAGGCAGGCAGAGAGAAAGGGGGAAGTAGTCTCCTCAGCGAGCAGAGAGCCCAACACGGGCTTGATCCCAGGACCCTGAGATCATGAACCGAGCTGAAGGCAGAGGCCTAACCCACTGAGCCACCCAGACGCCCCTACTTAGGTTGTTTTCATTCCTGATATCACCAAGTTGCAACGAATATACCTACAAATATATAATTTTGCACATGTCCATTTACATCAGTAGAAATTTCTAGAAATGGAATTGCTGGGTATGGTGACTTTTTATCAACAACTGGCCACAGGGTGCCCAAATCAACATTATTTCAGGTCTGTGGGGATGTTCCTCTAGCATTCAAGCTATGGACAAGTGGATTGCCCTCTATGGTGGGGGTGGGCATCATCCAATCTACTGAAACCCTGACTAAAACAAAAGCTGGAGCAAGAAGGAATTTGCCCCTTTTGCTTGCCTTGAGCCAGGAAATCTCATCTCATCTGGCCTCACTGGAATTCACACTACTAGCTCCCCTGGTTCTCCCGCTTACAGATGGCAGACCATAGCAGGTCTCGGCTTCCAGGAATTATGAGAGCCAATTCCTCACAATACGTCTTTTACATTTGTGTGACATATATAATATAAACTTGCACATAATAAAATACGTGTATCCTACTGGGTCTGTTGCCCTAGAGAATCCTAATACACTAGGCCAAAGTTCTGTGCATTTGCAAGTTTCACAGAGATTGGCAAACAGTCCTATATAAAGGGTATATAACAATATACACTTCTACCAGCAAGGCATAAAAAATGCCTGTCCTACTTACTGAATAATCTTTTTTGCACAGACTTAAGTCCTCCTCAAAATGTTTTAAGTCCTCATGTATCTACCAAAATCTGTTTCTGGCTAAGTCTGTTCCACTGATCTAATTATGAAGTTTAGACTACCTTTTGAAAGTAGTTCACCTGGGCTCTTGGGTGGCTCAGTCGGTTAAGCACCTGCCTTCAGCTCAGGTCATGATCCCAGTGTCTTGGGATTGAGCCCTGCATCAGGCTCCCCGCTCAGCGGGAGTCTGCCTCTCCCTCTGCCAGCCTGTGTTCTCTCTCTGACAAATGAATAAGTAAAATATTTAAAATAAATAAATAAATAAATAAAAGTAGTTCATCTAGTTTTGCATTAGCTTTGCAAACATCCCTTAGTGATCATCTACCTAATTTCCCACATAAACTGTTGAGCAACTTATCTACTCCTTCAAACAGAAATTTTAATAGTAGCAGTATTCACCATGCAAAGGTTAAACATACCTCCATTTAGGATAGTTTCCTTTTCTGGGATTTTTAGGTCTACAATAATTATTCCCTGAAATTAAAGTTCTATATTACACATTAGCAATGATGTCCTGAACACTATTCAATAATCCAGATAATGGGAAGTCTAGATTTTATTTTATTTGGGGGGTAATTCTAGATGGTAACGGGTGTAGAGCGTGATTAGGTTTTCTGAACTATTTCTAGCTCCCTGCAGGTCAGACATGCCCTCCTGCCTCTCTGTCCACACACAGGTGGTCTCTCCTGCCAATTTAAATGCCCCCCTTCTGGAACTCTACAGCTTGACAGCTGCAGAGCTTTTATCACAGTACTTCCTCTACCTGTCTTTATTTACTAAGCTCTAAGTTCTTTAAAGGAAGGAACCACAATTTAGTTTCATATTTGCATAGAAAGGAAATGGAGAGAGGGGAAGGGACAGAGGGAGGGAGGGAGGAGCAAGCACTACCTGTGCTGGCTGACTCCTCACTGTACAACTCCAGGGACAGCATTCACACCTTGCCCATGAGAGGCCCTGGAGCCCAGAAACAGGATGTGAATTATACTCTTCAGAACCCTGCAACGTGGCCGCTCTGGTACACGGCACACCTAGGCGCTCAATGCACATGCACTGAACTCCTCCCGTGACTAACTCTGATTGTCAAAGAACCTAGGAGGAAACTAACAACTCTGAATGATAGACTGCCTTCCTGAATATAAAGGGCATATTCTAGAACCAAGATACTTCTTTCATAGAGATTAAATGAAGCTCATGGATAAGGTTTGTTTTCCAACTGACACCAGGTAAATCTGTCTCCAAACCAGTATCCATTAGCAACACTCATTGCTTATGCACATAGTTGAAAGTGAATTCAGTTAATTATAGTCTTTAAACTTCTGAAAGAAGCCAGGAAAGAAACCTATTTAGTGTTCAAAGTATACTTAAAAAATACTATTTTATTTATACTTACGTATGAAAAAAAATGGCTTTACTACCATGCTTACATAAATACCAATACTGGAAGCAGAATTCAATTATGAATCACTTCTAAATTTTATAAAGAACACACAACCATTAAAACACTGACTGGTTATAGAAAGCAGAGTGGAGAAAAAAACATTAGCTATCATTTTCAATTTAATTAAAGAGCAGCACAGCACCCTCTGAGAAGAATCAAATCAATTAGTAATATTCATCTATATTGTAAAATAATATATACATAGAAAAGTTAGTGATTGTACTGATTTTATTACTTTTACTAAGCCATTTTATCTTCCTCACACTCAATGCAAAGAAATAAAACAATATAAAGAAAAATATGTCCTCATTACTATTCACAATAAAAAGGGTCTGCCTCATTGTGCAGGCCTGGGCATACTATATAATAGGGAGCACTTCATGGCTTAAGTGGATCAAAGTACCATTTTGATTCTGACCCACTGAATAGAATCTCATGCATATTTGTGACTGGATTAACTCCATGGGAGCTGTGATGTACTGAACCATCTCTGTGGTAACCCCAGATCTCACTACATTAAGAAAAGACCCTACACAAGAAAAGATAAAAATCAGTCTGTCCATAAATTGTTTCTATGGGCTCTATCTTTAGTGTCAGGTGGGAAAAGGGACCCTTTCTTTAGTACATGGATACAAGGACTGTTGTGGTCTAAAGATTGCTGGATTGATATTTTATCGGTTATAATGAAAATAAAGTGTACATCAAAACCACTGCCAGATTAAGAAACTTCCACAACTTGTCTCAATTCTTCAAATAACGGAGCAAGTTCCTTTTCTAGGCTGACAATGAGTCCTAAAACAGAGATTAAGAAAATTAGAACATCAGAGAAATGTTCCTAAGAAAGTTTTTGACTTAGGTTTCCTCCTGTTAAAATTTAGTTACTAAAAAGCAAACAAGATCTAGTTTACTCCCCGTAAAGCAAAATACTGTAATTCTAACTAATCAAACACCCTTTTCATTACGAAGCTTACTTTCTTCATCTATTATTAAAGTGAATAAATGAAAAATATTTATATGCATTAGAAGGTATAAAATGAATTATATGCACTGTAATTTTGTTAGTTTTGAAAGGAAAACTTTAATTCATACTCTACTATTTCAAAATCTGTACTCATTCAGAAATGATACAAGATTTTTACCTAAAAAGGTACCCTTTTTCCTGAACAAATTTTAATGGACTTTATCAAAACAGAGGAAGACACCTGCTTCAACCTTGAACAAAGAAATATTATGTTTATTTTATAAATTTGGTAAAGCTAAAGCATAAATAGGTCTTTCAAGTGAAAAAATTAATTTTAGAGATGAATGGTAGGAGCATAAAATATAAACTTCCAGGTCTAAAATTCAGTGCTGAATCTGGGAGACAAAGTAGTGTAAAAATGAGCATATCTAGCTTCTCCTTAGTTTACCAGAGTGAAAAACTATATATCTTATATATCTTAGACACTGTTTAATGCTCAAAGATCTTGCTTAAAAAATTCTGAAATTATTCTAGATACTAAAATATAATTCTATTATCAAAATTTATAACAAGTGTTGATTTAGTACATGATGGTGACTTATCACAATTAAGAAAATCTAGAAAATTACTCTAGATACTAAAATGTAATTCTATTATATTATCAAAATTTATAACAAGTGATGATTTAGTACATGATGGTGACATCACAATTAAGGTTTAGTATATTTTAAATGTCAACACCAATACTATCCTACATAATTAACAAAGTGTTTTCACACAGAGCATTTTACAGCTTCAAAACATTTAGAAATGGAAGAGACCTTCTAAATCATCAAATCTAAACCCCTCACTTTAAAGATGAGGAATCTAAAGAACATGTTTCAGTGACATAGCTGGAAAGAGATTTGGTCAAACAACTTGGAAAGAAAAAAAACAGAAAATGAATGCATAATAGTTCTAAATGGCAGCCAAATCTAAAGAAGACAATACTTAAAAAAAAAAAAAGAAAAAAAAAAAAAACCACTTTATCCAAAAGGGAGCATGTTAATTATAGAATACAGTCATTATTTTAAACATAAATATCCAGTGAGGGCTATTGAATATAATGGGATCTTATGATCTGCCATAGCAAGTACAGCTTCCTGGTGTTTGTTCTCAAATTCTTCGAACCTCAGGAAGAACACATGTTTAAATTCATCCTAGTCATGCTCTTAGAATTCTCAATCACATTAATGTTGCCCAGTATCATTCAAGATTTTACCAACTAATAGATGGGTCTACATAGAATTGAATTCATCCTTGACTATTTTATGTGTGTGGTTATCTACTCTACTCTTTTTGTGTTTTCTTAAGCTGTTTTAATGTGAGCAAGATGTAGCATTCAAGGGGTGAAGATAATTTAATTTTCCTTTCTATCTTCAAGGATCACCTACCCATACGATGTCTCATTTGAACTAGAAAATAACCCCATGAGACAGAGAAAGCAGATATTAGCTCCATTATATAGCCAGGGAAAACAGAAGTCACAGAAGTTAAACTTTTCTGGAGACCAAGGAATAGATGGTGGAGGTAGGTCATGAATTCAGCTTTTTTTACTCTAAATCTACTATTCCGATCATATTAGACTGTTCAGATATGGTATTATAAGAAATTAAAAGCTGTATTTAAGGTAGTTAAAACACACCTGTATTGGCATTGCTGCTGGCTATGAAACTCACCACCAAAGGTAAACGATTGAATTGAACAACCTAAAAAGAAAGTTAAGATCTAAATAATGTTATTCAAATGAAATACCTTAATCTTTCAAAACTTTATTTAAATGGCCAATGTGTAAGATACTACCTACCCCATTATGTAATATGAAAGAGCTGAAAACAAGTATTTCCATTCAACAGACTTACTGAGTATCTCTTAGAGCCATTATCATTACTCAGCCTGGAGAGATCTAAAGGTGGGACTATGCCACCTTCACCTCTTTACCTCCCAAAGACCAGTGGTGTGTCAATTATTACATGGCAGGGGCTCCACAAACACTTGATAATTAAATGGCTGAAGTCAGTATTTCTCCTTCAAGTATTTATACCTTCATGATTTCCCTGCCTCCTGTGTACCACTATTAATTTAAATTTAAGTTACCTTCAAATCAACTATCGTTTAAAAAAACTTAGCTTCAAACTAATCCTTATTGATGAAATTGAAGATCAAAAGGGTTGTTATCTTCTGTCCAATACACATGAAAATATGAAGTTTTAAAATAAAAATATAATGTGTAACATCAGCAGTACACGAATCAAACTCTGGGAAACACTGCTCTAAAGTAGAAGCAATTAATTTATTCTAAATAAGAAAATGCAGCTGGGGACCAAGAGGTATGTAGCAATGAAATTCCTTCATGATAACCTCACTGAAAATACATCTTCCAAACCAAATGAAGGAATTAGCAGCAGTAACAAATTTCAATAACTTATCCTAACTGTCAAGGGAAAATTTTTTATTTGTCACAACAAAAAAAAGTGTGTTATTTGAGAAATCACATTTGTTAAGCTAAGGGCACCATCTACTGGAGGTAATAGTGACCTGACTTCCCTTTTTAGAATAACATATTTTATTAATAAATCTTTTGACTACTTTTCCACATTAATTAATTCCTGGTATAAAATGTGAAGACAATTACTACAATTCAACACAACCAATTTGAAGACTAAAATTTTAAAATGTCATCCACGCTTCAAAACTAAAATTTAGAATAAAAACACAAGCTATTTTATATAGAAGGCATAACAACAGTTGAAAACAGCAAACTGCTCTATAATTATGAACCTACCTGGTAGGTGTTATAGTAACAGATGATACTTTTGTTTTTTGAAAGTCCAAGTTTGCTCCCTTGGTCTGTTGCAAGGGCAAAAGTAGATAAGAAACCAGGTCTCAAAGCATGCTCTGGGGCATTATCATTGGCCACTGGAAATACAAACGATTTAAAAAAAAAATCATGCAGTGGATAGGACAGAGAGAAGTTTACCGCACTTTTTCTTTTTTTAAACATAAATCAGTGAAAATACTGAGAGAAGGGCTATTATGCTTCACAATACTGAAAATCGTATCACTAACTGGGTCTCATCAATTTAGGTGAGAAAAACTGCTTCACCAGAAATTGAGTGATCATAACTAAGGAAAGAAATACTGGTTCTCACAATTTTTTTTTTTAAAGAATACTAAATGTTTAATTTTCTTAATAGCTACTTTAAAACACAAATTAATCAGTATGTTTAATAAACTGAATATTCTGGTTAACCGAGAGCCAAGCTAGAATAATGAAAAAAGCTTCCAGAAAATTTTTCTCTCATAAAACCTATAGCAGCATTACTTATAGATATTAATAAATTTAGAGGTGGCCATCTGTTTTAAGTTTCTTTCACTCATTAAAAGGCCTAAATGGAGTTAGTTGTACCAATCGCTTTAACACAGAGCTCCTAAGAAAGAAAATTAGAGCTGCCGATTATTTTAATTTTGTTCAGAACTGAGTAAAGGCAAAAAGGCAGGCGACTGACTTGCCCACAGCCATCTATGTTTTATGGTGGGTTAGAACGCACACTGAACTACACATCAGAAGATAATGGTTCTATTATAATTATAGTTACAGTATTTTGTTTCTAATATATTTGTTATACTATATATATTATGTATATTATATACATATACATAATATATAGTATATACATATACATAATATATAGTATATATAGAGAGTATACATACATATATAGTATGTATACTATATATATTATGTATATGTAATATACATAATATATTATATGTATTCTAGTATTATCTTGTCACTGACTCATGTGCAACTTTGTACTAACAATGCACTCTTTGCACTTGACCATCTCTGTTTACAAAATGAAAGAACTAAATTAGGTGATTTCTAAACTTCCTTTTAATTCTAAGGTCTAAAATTATCTGACATATATGATAACTTCGGGTGGAAAACTGTAAACAAAATGTAAAGAAAATCATTTCATCTTTCTTTGATAAAGCTATTATAGCGTCCCTATACAACTATGAACATTCATGTGATACTGCCTTAAGACACAAGTATTAAAAATGGTCTTAATACACAGTCACTCAGTGACATCATATATACTTAAAGACTAAAGCTCAGGGGAGCCTGGGTAGTTCAGTCGACTAAGCGACCAACTCTTGATTTCAGCTCATGTCATAACCTCAGGGCCCAGGGATAGAGCCCCACATTGGGATCTGTGCTCCAGCTCTAGCTGGAGCTCTAGCCAGAGTCTGCTTGTCCCTCTCCCCCTGCCTGCCTAAGCACATGCACACATACACACACTCTCTCAAATAACTAACTAAAATCTAAAACAAAACAAAACAAAACAAAACAAAACAAAAAAAACCTCCTGAAAATCACGCAAAATTTTTTTTCTTTTTTTAGGTTAACAAGCTCTTCTTTAGGTAAGAAAGTCTTGTTAGAGTCTGGTTAACTAAAGTAATTGTGAAGTTAAAAGTTTAAAAAAAATCTTATTTCCAGTAAGTAAGGAGAAAATCAATAAAGATTCAGCAAAACAATATGTTAATTCAAATGTATGAAAGTTTATCTCCAAACCACCAAACAGATGTCAGGGGAAGTCTGTGTGTACAATATATGTAGCTACATACAGTCCCAGTCCCCCAGCACTGACATTTACTCTTGACATTACGCCACTAATGTCTTTCATGAAAAACTGGGCTTGTGATAAATCCATGCTTAAACTCTCAATGGTGACACAATCATTCAACATGTAGTAAGTTATAAGCTCCAATGAAGCCTTCCACATACAAAAGCGAACATCTTCCCCCAAACTAAGACCATCTCCTGGATTTATTGAAACAGCTTTTACATGCTTGCCTTCTGCACTACTCAGACCTAAGTATGTTTTATTCAAAAGCAAACATGACACTGGCAGGCAGGCACAGTTTTACCTTTAATAACGGGGACTCCATCTCTGTCTGACACAACAATAGCATGGAGCCCTTCAACACTAGAAGGAAAAAAAGAAGTTAAAATCTTATGAAGCATTTCATTTTCTCAAAATATGCACCTCAAAGTCATTCTGGGGATTTTCATGTACATTTCTGAAAAACTATGTCAACTCAGTTACTGACCTCAAAAGTTCCTAGATGTCTGCCAAAACTTCTAGAAATTGAATAAACATGTGTATTACTATCATGCTTATAATCTTCACAAATTTATGCTATTGATAAAGATCTAAAACATGCATAATTCTCCATTATAATTGTTAATTATCTTTCCTTTATTTATGCAAGTGTGACAGGTTATCAGCAGCAGCTACAGTGACAATGGTATCAAGTGCCATCAAGATATCTGTGGGTTATAAGAACCTATAAAAAGGTGGTTGATCTACACAAGTGGGTCAGGGAAGGCTTCCCTGAGACGGTGACAGCTAAGCTGAGATGTTACAGCACTGGTCAAGAGAAGAGGGGCAGAAAGACTGAGTTAGGCTGAAGGAACAGAATGGAAAGAATGAAGGTCATGTAGCAATCTCTTCAGCTATGCCTACATAAGAAGCAGCGAGTGGAATGGTCAAGACTATAACCATCTAGTCCCGCCTAGCGTACTATTTACACTACCCTGGGCCAATTATGAAAACTTTGTAAGCCTCCATTAACAATATGAAAATGGGAATAACTGTATTTATGTAATTATTATAAAATTTAATAAAATAATAATGTAGAGGCTGGTACATAGTTAAAATTCAAAAATATTAATTATTAGTAATTAGCATCAGAGTGTCATCTGCGCACACTGACAATTTATTAGTACAGTTTAAGTATTAACTCATAAGAGAATTTCTAGAGCTACAAAACTAAAGTGCTAAAAATTAGAATGGGAAAACATTCTCAAACTTTCAGTTCCATGATCTTGTAATATCCAAGATTGCTATTCAGAAATACGTTCAACGTTCCTACTCCAACTCAGATTATCCACTCCTTATTGTGTTAACCTTAATGTTTTAAGTTAGAAATAAGGAATAATCATACTATACACTGAAATTAAATTTTAAAGATCCCAGTGGCAAAAACTTTTAAGTCTTCTTTTTTTGGAGACTGCAATTTTACTTTTATTTATTTATTTTTTTCCCTCTTATTAAAATTTAAAATTTTTTTATAAACATATAATGTATTTTTATCACCAGGGGTACAGGTCTATGAATCGCCAACTTTTAAGTCTTTTAAGAGAAACTTTTAAGAGAAGTGTTATTAAATTTTGAGAAAATGGGGGCGCCTGGGTGACTCAGTGGGTTAAAGCCTTTGCCTTCAGCTCAGGTCATGGTCCCAGAGTCCTGGGATCGAGCCCCGCATCGGGCTCTCTGCTCAGCGGGGAGCCTGCTTCCCTTCTCTCTCTGCCTGCCTCTCCGCCTACTTGTGGTCTCTGTCTGTCAAATAAACAAATAAAAATTCTTAAAAAAAATTTTTTTTTTGAGAAAATGTTATGAACACTACCATTTATGAACCTCACGTTAAAAGTAAAAATGATGAAATAACCTGTATAAACATTTACTGGTATTATTTTTTATTATCATTCAATCCTGGAATTATCTATACATTAAAATGTCCTCTTGTAAGGTTAATTTATAAAGCAAATTCTTCTTAATTAAAAACTAGGTTATATAAAAGTATATCCTACTGATACTTGCACACACAGAAACTACTTTGTACAGTTATCAACAGCAACATGACTTGAAATAGGAAAAAACTAGAAACCTGCCTATCAAGAAGAACGAGTCCAATAAATTATAACACACATACACAATAGAATATTCTGCAGCCATTAAAAACAAAGAAACAGCACTTTGCATGTACTGCGAAGGACTGATCTCAAAAGTATATTGTGAAGTGAAAACAAGTTTTGAACAGTATGTCTAGGAAGCAAAACTTACATAATAACAAGGGTAGGTACATGTATGTATATGTTGTGATGGACTGAATGATTATGTCAGCCTGCAAAATTCATGTTGAAACCTAAATCCCACTGTGATGGTATCTGGAGGCGGGGCCTTTGGGAGGTCATCAGAATGGGGGGGAGGTGGAGCCCTCAGATATCATACAGTGCCCTTACTTAAGGCTAGAGAGATAGCTAGCCCTCCTTCTACCATATGAAGATATGGGAAGTCTGCAATCTGCAATTCAGAATCATGTTGGCACCTTGATCTTGGAGTTCCAGCCTCTAGAACCGTGAGAAATAAATTTTGGTTATTTATAGGAAATCTAATCTATGGTATTTGTTTTAACAGTCTCAACTATGACCTATGTGTGTTTATATACATGCTTGTTTGCAGGTGTGTAAAGTATCTTTGAAGGTACTGGGTATCCCTGAGAAGGGAACTGTGTGGCTGGCGGACAGGATAGGAAACTTTTCACTATTGTCCTTCAGTTACCTTCTGAATCTTGAACTTTATGAATGTACTGCCTACTCAAAAGATAAACAAATTAAAAAGCAGGTAAAGAGTACTACAAAAAAAATGTTTAGAAATATCTGTGTCACCATAGTTTCTTTTCTCTTATTTTCAAGATAATTAACTTAAATGCCAACTAGTGCACCAAAAAGGGAGGCAGAAATAAACACTTTTGGGGCGCCTGGGTGGCTCAGTGGGTTAAGCCTTTGCCTTAGGCTCAGGTCATGATCTTAGGGTCCTGGGATCGAGCCCCGCATAGGGCACTCTGCTCAGTGGGGAGCCTGCTTCCCCCAACCCCCTCTGCCTCTCTGCCTACTTGTGATCTCTGTCTGTAAAATAAATAAATAAAATCTTAAAAAAAAAAAAGAAATAAAGAATCTCTTTTTAATGGATTTTAAATTCACAGAGGTAAATGCCCAACAAAGTAGAAAAATTACTCATATACTAAAAATACCCACTAAAAGAAATCAGGTCACAAATATATAAGTTGTTTCCAATTCTACATAGAGTGAACAAAAAAATAACATAAGTAGATTTTACTAGTAGTTGAAAATAAGCATGATGCGTTAATAGGTACACTGTACTTCTGGAAGGAATTAAATGTTATGAAATATTCTGCAGACATCTAAACCTTAAGCTTAATAAAACAAACATTTTTATTCCAAAAAAAACCCAAATATTGTATTTGTAATCAGACACCATACTTCCTTTTACATATATAATAACAAAACTTCTGGTTATTTTAAAACACAAAAATTGTGACTATTAAAGCCTGAGCCTACTTTGGGTCACAACTAGACTTAAAAATAGAAATTCAAAAACTGTTTTTAGCAGAGAATTTAAAAATGAACAAAAACGTATTCCATTTACTGACTCCGTGTTGAGAGGTATAGCTCTAACAATTAAAAGCATGAACCCACAGCTCTGAAGCCAAGTTGCCTTCGTCCAAATCCCTTCACTTTACATACATCTAGCAACAAATCAAATGTGTATTTTATTACTTTTCTTTTTAAGTGTTCAATATTATTTCTTCAGTCCTTTAGCTTTTGGGATACACTAAGCCTACTTTCAAGAAAAAGTCATGAATGAATATGAATCAAACTGGCCTTGCTCATTTTGGGGGCGGGGGAACCAAACTAAAACAAAGTACATGGAAAGCCCTTTCTTCCACTATAGAAATATTTTCATGACACTTTAACAATTACCCTTTTTACAAATATCAACTATGCTTCTGCTCCTATATTCTGTTGCCAGTGCAGGATTTCCCTCCAACTCTACTGGTCAATTTTACCATCCTTTCAATATGCCAGATCTCCAAGAAGGCAGATACAGAGAAACACAGAAACCTTCATTTTGTACAGTTCCAACAGGGACACATTTTAGTTCTCACAGTTGAACTAAATAACACCACTCCCCCTGAAAGCAAGGCTCAAATTTCAGGAAGTATGGTATAGTGAGTAAATATATACAGTACAAACCTCACTAACGTGAACAACTTTGTAAGTGACAGATCGAACTGTATCAGGAACCAGCCACATCACTTCTTTCAAAATGTGTTGGTGACTGGTCACCGAGCATCCGTTCCTCAGTGTATGCAGGGACGGTAAAGTACAGAGTGTTATCTCCTTATTTTCTAATGGTAAAGCATATGACATTAAAAAGAAAAACAGAACTGAAATAGGGAACTGGCTAATCAAGATGAAATACAGCAAAGGAAGGAAAGTGACAATGCTGGAAGTGAAATTCAAGCAGAAAGTCAACACCTCGAGAAGAAATAACCGGCCAAAAGAATGTTGACGCTTTTGCTGTTGTGCACAGGACGTACAGCCAGAGGAACTTCGTGCAAGTGCATTCACGGACAGTAATTAGGCAAGTGCTCGGGATGAAAAGGATGAAGACAGCCCAGAGGAAGTGACGCTGGCAAAAAACTTCGCACAACATCTACAGTACAAAGGACAAAATGGTGGAAGCTGATCCAAACTTAGAAAGGAGTATGTTCATTTGAAGGCACAGAAAAGATGCCTACTCCTTATCTTAAGGTTATACCTTTCATATTATTTTACTGTATATGCAAAGAAGTAGGCACTGTTCAAACTATACTCGAGAAGTTTTCTACGAAGAAATAAACATTAGTAGTATTTCCACTGTTTTTAAACTGCAGTATATTAAACAAATACTGCTTTTAGCATTTGTTTCCATTCCCTCAAACAGAACCAACAAAAGAGGTTTTAAGGTTTTGACAAAATTTTCTAAACATCAGAAAACAACTGTCATTTTTCCCAGGGATTACTAAAATTGCTGTGGACAGTTTCAGCATGTACAGTCATTTTATTGCCCTGAACTACCGTGCAAAGCTAGGACTGCCTGCTCATCATTACGTTGAGAACAGAGTCAGTGTTCCAGTTTGCACTAGAAAGAAGAGAGTAAAAATGAATTTAAATACTACATTAATGCAAAGCCAAAGGTAACAATTATTTAACACTTCAATAATATTTTCTTCCTGAATATAATAGTATTTTTTTCCCGAATACAGACAAATATACATAAATCAAACCCAGGAGATAATACCATTAATTTCTACTGGCTTATAGTCAGGGTAAAGGCACAAGTTAATAGTCAAACCACATCAAACAATTCAGGCAAAAATCTAAATGAGAATTTTTTTTGTTTGTTTCTTTTTAACTACCTACGGAAATGAACTGACATCCAAAACCTTTTTAAATTCACACATTAGGAGAATAAAAAAAGAAGTTAAAAAAAAAAAAAAAAGGATCTCACCACATATTCTGCTACATTACACCTCAAAGGTTATTCAATTATGCTGGAATGTGAAAATGGATGTTTTTCTCTCTCTCATGTCCTTAACTCTAAGGTATTACTTTACACTAAACTAAATGTGAATTTTAATATAACTAAAATGACAAAGTCCTTTGAGTCATAAAAATATCTTAAAAGGAAGTCTGCTGTTCTCCACACACAGCCAAATTGATAATGGTACATCAAATGGATTGGGGGCAGGCAAAAAGAAAGCCTTGTGATTTTTCCGAGCATGAACTGCTATCTACATCTAGCATTTTTGGATTACACAAACTCTGCAATTAGGTCTTAAAAGTAATACTAAAGAAAAGGCAAGCTCTAGTGTTTTTCTCCTTAAAATTACTCTATCTCAAAATATAACCCAGTAAACTGTTATGATAGTATATTTGAAAAAACTCTAAAAGTGGCAAGAAATAGGAGTTCTAGCTCTCTGGCATTCACGAGCTATTTAACCTCAGACAACAAGTCATGTAACTTCTCTAGGCCTGATAGTATTTATCCACAAATTCAAAGAACATTTCTTGTACTGTCTAGTGCCAAGTATTTGAAAACGTTAAATAACAATATAATATACACATACTATTAGTCTAAAATAAATAGAAACAAAATGCTACATAAAATCGACATATATTAACAAATTAGTAATTTTTTACCTTGGTAATTTTTTATACAGGAATCGCTTTAGGTCCTGAAAGAGAATATAAAAAAGTCATGTTATATCAATATGTACTGGTTCTCTAGAAACTGTCCTACCCACATTTCAGGTATCCACATTTATAATTTCAAGATTATAAATTAAATCATAATTTATAATCTTTTTTCCTTGTGTTTTTTTTTCTTTTTGATTTTGATACTGTGTGACTTAAAACAAGTTATTTAACCTTTCTCTCTAAGCCCCAGTTTCATTATCTGTTGAGAAGGGATAATCACAGAACCTATCTCATAAGACTGTTTTTAACATTTATTGAGAAGATGTATGTAAACTGAGCAGCATATCTGGGCAAATACATATTAGCTGTAAAATTAGATCATATTTTTCATACTATTTTACATCCTGTTGCTATTGTCCTGTTAACTTGACAATATATTATAAACATCTTTCCATGTTTGTAGATAAACTTTCTCACATTACTTTTTAGCAATCCTGGGTAAATTAACTTCTCTGAAATTCTGTTTCTTTTCATGACTAAAGATAAATGACAACATGTATCAAGTGTTAAGCATGGAACATAATTAGGAATAAAGAAAAAAAAAAGACTATTTTATTTCCTCTTGTTACACTTTCTCACCCAGGGAATTTCACTGACAATCCAGGTAGGAATTATGAGGTCTACATAGGTAAATCAGGAGTCTGTTGTTTTGAACCTCTATTCCCTACTATTCTCGAGACCTGAATGTTCACTTTATTTCATGTTATGACCACCACCTTATCTCTGCTCTTATCTTAAACACACACATTAAAACTCAACTCATTATGTTTCATGCAGAATCCAGATTTCCTCAATCTCTTCTTGTCTCTACTAATGCCACCACCAATGCCATTATTCAGGTCTGAAACACAGAGTAACATTCAACCCTAACCTCACCTTTATCACCTTTAAATGATTTGTGAAGTCAAATGTTTTTAAAATGACCTCTTCCTCTCCTTTTTTCTTTCTTTTTTTATTTTAAAGATTTTATTTATTTATTTCACACAGAGAGACTGAGCTCAATCAGGGGGAGCAGCAGGCAGAGGGAGAGGGAGAAGCATGAAGACCTGAGCTAAGGGCAGACGTTTAACTGACTGAGTCACCCAGGTGCCCCTCTTCCTTTCCTTTTCAACTGACATTACAATTTAGTTTCACTTTAAAAATTATCTGTGACTTGTGCTGGCCTCCCAACTGGTAAACTGATCTTCCACTTCTATCCCATACAGTTAGTTCTACATAATGCCAATAACCATATTATTCTCCTTCTCCACCTGTGCTACAGGTGCTCCCCAGATGATCCCCTGTGCAGCTGGGGTTGAGAACCAATGTCTGAATGACTCTCCACTGTTGAATAAATTCTCTACAAATTCTTTTAACATTTGGGCTTCTCTACAATATGGTTTACAGCTAATTTTACAGTCCTGCTTCCTATCACTCCCTCATACATATTCTCAACCCCAGCAAAAGTGGACTACTCACAGCTACTCCACATACCTTTCCCTTTCCCATCTCTCAAACTTTGTTTACACTATTCATTTTAATAGTAATTCTCTATCAACTTTAAGAAAAAGTGCTACTCATTATTTAGAGCTAATCTCAATCACCAAATACTTCAAATAGGCCTTCCTGATACACACCAACGAGATGTAATCCCTCTTTCTTTTGAATTTTCACACAATTATGTATATACATTTATGACCACCTGCCTATTATACTTAAAAAAAATTTTTTTTAAACCCTCATGGAGGGATGCCTGGGTGGCTCAGTTGGTTAAGTGTCTGCCTTGGCTCAGGTCACGATTCCGGGATCCTGGGATGGAGTCCCACATCAGGCTCCTTGCTCAGAGGGGAGTCTGCTTCTCCTTTGCCTGCCACTCCTTGTGCTCGTGTGCTCACATGCATGAGCTCTCCCTCTGACAAATAAGTAAAATATTAAAAAAAAAAAACCTTATGGAGAGGAATTATACCTTCATCATCTCTATTTCACACACAGCCCTTATTACAACAAACTTTGCAAGGTGATACTCAATAGATACACAGTGTTTGACTATGACTGGAGAATATGTTCTCAAGAACATAATGACAGACACTCAAAAATGGAGTGATAAAGGCATACAAAGTTCCTAAATACTCAAACATACAGTCTTGCAACCTAAAAAGAAAAATCACATTCAATATTAATGTTGAGTGATCATTTAGCCTAGTGGTTAAGAGCATAAGCCCTGGAGTCAGACTGCCTGGGGTGGTATCTTGACATTACAACTTACCAGCTGTGTAACCAGAGGCAAGTTACATGATCTTTCTATGCCTTAGCCTCCCCATCTAGAACACAAGGACAGTAACAGTGCCTACTTCATAAAATTTGTTAGAATTAAATGAGTATATGTTCAATGAAGAGTTCCCAGTATGTAAGTAATAAAACAGGATGTAAAATATAGACACGAACATTAGTAGTATTAATTCCCTGTTGTTTCTAGTAACTAGTACAATTAAGTTTCCTAAACTTAAAATTTGGGTTTTACTTCTGTGCTAAAGAGGTATCAGTCAGAAGTCATCTCAATTTGCTCCAGTGAATCTACAGAGACATCATGACCACTTACTGGAAAAAAGTAGATTCACAGCAGCAAAACATTTAGAAATTCAAATGGAATTCAGAGCCTCTCTCTGCCCGCTGGACTGCGGAGTGGGAAGAAAACAATTCTCTCAACCTCAAGACAACAACACACCCACTGTGGGCAGAAACTCGGGACTCCGCAAATCTCTTCATCTTAGTCACTCACTCCAGAGTCTACAGAAACCGTGTGGGGGTGGGGGTGGGGGTGGGGGTCTAAAAGGGAACACATTTCTCCTTGGCAAGCTTTACCTCTCCCCGCCCAGGAGGCCTCCCCTAAACTTCCCATCCTCCCCTTCCTCTTGTGTGGGTGTGTTAACTCACATCCGCCATGACGAACCCCTTTGTCCCGCAGGATCAATGTCCACTCCTGGAAGAGAAACTCCTGGTGACTCTCCCCTCGACACTTCTTCCCACCTCCAACCTAATAAGCGGGGTCAGCTCTCATCAAGGCCAGGCAAGAATCCGCGGCTCTAGGACTCGCACCAGGGAAGCCGGAATGAGCGCGAGTTCCCAAATACCCAGACAGTAGCTGTCATGCCCTATCTCTGTCCACTCCACCCTCCATCCGCGAAGATCTAGGCCCGAAGGCAAGTCCTCTCCCTCCTTTGAGTCTTGGCCGGCGCCACCGGGGGGCCCGGGCTCAATACCACGCATAGCGGCTCAAGTTACCCGGCTTTCTGGGCTGCGGTGTTCCTCTCAGCTGTAAGTTCAGGGACAGCTTCAAAGACAGTCTACCTTGAAAGTCGTCGTCACATGACTTGTGACCTCCTCCGTGCTCCAGGAAGCACTTCCGACGCCTCCGAAGCCCGGTGACATGAAATTTCCGGGGAGGCGCGGGGGTCTTTTGCGCCGGCTCACCCCCGCCCGTCCCCGCCCCTGGGCGGGCTGCTCCTTGCGCCTGCGCAGACCTAGGGACGTGGGGACGCCGGCCCGAGGTTAGAGGGTTCCTTGGCTATCGTCTGGCACTAAGAGACCTGCGGAAAATGTATGCAGGAAGACGTTGTGTGGGGAGCGTGCACAGATTTCATTAGTTTTTCAAGGCTTGTTATCTTAATATCTTTTCTTGTAGGTAAAAAACGTTTGAAGGGCTGTTGTTTACAGGGGGAACTGCCGCGGAGTTGCCTGTGTCTAGAAGTCCCAGCCTCCTGGGGCGCCTGGCTGACTGAGTCAGTGGAGTTTATGACATGATCTTGGGGTGGTGAGTTCCAGCCCCGGTGGGTGAAGAGATTACTTAAAAATAAAATCTTAAAACAAAACAAAACCCAGGTTCATAGATTTCTGAGCCTGATGACCTCCTCTGCCTTGGCTTTTCAAGGGCGGTTACTCAAGGTCTTGTCTAGATTGAATAGAGGAGCCATGGGCTTTCTGGAGTTTTCACAGTTATTTGTGGAACTCAGTATATGCAAATACTGGACGACCTTCCTTCTTTGCCTCATGATTTAGAAGGCTGTGACTTAGTTGCAGTCATGTTTTTTGTTTGGGGCCTTGCTCATTTGCACAAGTAACAAAAACTTACGGTAGCTGGTAAGAAAACAAAGACTATGGGAGCTTGTTAAGGACTCATCTTCAACTCCCAGTCCCTAAAAGTAGGAGTGCAAAAGGAATTCTAGCTTAAGACAGGGGGAAGAGTTGGATACTAATTTCCTGTTTATCCGTGAGAAGACGAAATGGTAAACTACAGAGCTCCCAGCTGTTAAAATGATCTAATTATTACAAGTGAACCTGACAGTTCCATAGCAACTCACGTCATTGAAGTTCACTTCCTTTTCCTTATTTAAACCATTTGATTTCCTAGCTTTGGGATACTGTATTACTTATTTTAGGTCCTCACCCATTCTATTTTCCTAATTCTTTAGATCATTGCGTTTAAAGCTTGTCTTTAGTTTGTTTTTCTCTTTCCACATTTCCCTGAGAACGTGAGTCCTAAGTCTGCACCTTTCCTCAGAGTTCTAGGTTCACATTTTTGGCTGCTTGTCGGTTGTTGCATATTTCTAAATATATGTCTTACAGTCACCTCTGACTCAAAAGCTCCAAAAACTTCTCCCATCAACATTTTTCATAATGTGTGCCTGTATCATTTCCATGATTCTACTAGTCAGGTGTCATGTTTGACTGCTATCTTTTGTTCCTTGTGTCTTCTTTTCTGTAACAGATTTTTTCATCTATATATATTTTTTAATTCCTCACTCAAACCATTATCTAGCAAGATGATATTAATAGCCACTTAGTAATGGCCAGATAAACTTTCCCAAAACAATGCACATTACTGCTGCACAAAAAATCTTCAGTGATGCACCATTGCAGACTGATAAAGTTGACAGTCTAATCTTTTACCTCTGAACACATTCTAAGGTGAATCCTATACTCCAGTCAAATTGATTACTCCACCTTTCCATCACTGTTTATTATTTCTCCACACTGGTTCTGGAGGGTCCTTTAAACTGAAATGCTTATTTCTCTTGTAGGGAAGGAAAAACATCTGCCCTTCTACCCTCTTAGGTTCTATGGCTGAGCCTAAGAATTGATAGATTATCCAGTGAAAAAAACACATTTATTTAATATTTTAATGTGTATATGGGAGTATTCAGAAGGAGATAAGGTCCAAAGACATCACTAGGCCCAAGTTACATACCTTTTTATACAAAGAACAACAAATCGTGGGGATGTGACAAGGAAAGGGGCTTGGGTAATGGACAGTAAATTGTGGGACAGTGATTATGAAACATGTGGGTGAAACCAAAGGAAGATAAGGATTATTTTAGTAGGCTTGTTTGTAAAGGTCCATTTTGGTGTCAGTCTCACGTCTGGTGATAAGAATGTTCTCTTCCTGGTAGAGGGAGGGCACCTTTCTCACAGGAAATTTTATGACCTGTTTTTTGGTAAAAGGGGAGGTCAAAGAATCCTTCCTGTATCTGTTTTCTTAGTTCCTTCAGCTCAAAATAATCAGTATGCCTAAGTGGTGGGCACCTGGGTGGCTCAATAGGTTAAGGGTCTGCCTTCTGCTCAGGTCATGATCCCAAGGTCCTGGGATCAAGTTCCACATTGCGCTCTCAGCTCCAAGGGGAGTTTGCGGGTCTCCCTCCATATGCACCCCTCCCCCCCAACTCATGCTCTCTCTCTCAAATAAGTAAATAAAATCTTTTTAAAAAATGCCAAAGTGGCATATTTTGGGGTGGCATGTTCTGAATCCCTTCACTTTCTTAGATAATGCATTTTTTTGTTTGTTTGTTTGAGAGAGAAAGAGCATGCATATGCCCACACGGGGCGGGGGAGGGGCAAAAGGAGAGAGAGGGAGAGAATCTTAAGCAGGCTCCATCCCCAGAGTAGAGCCCGATGCAGGGGCTCAATCTCATGACCCTGAGACCTGGGCCGAAATCAAGAGTTGGATGTTTAACCGACTGAGCCACCCAGGTGCCCCTCTACCTGAGATACTTAAATCTTGTTTTCTGATAACATCTCACATATCCCATTCTCTTGCATACTGCTTTATGTTACCAAGAATAATTGATATTTGTGCATAATTATGTGTCATAGTTTTGCTTTCCCAATGAGACCATAACCCCTAGAAGGCCAGGTCATGTTTTGGACTTTTTTTCCAGTTTCCTATAATGCCTCAATGTCTTGCACTCTGTAGGCAACTCATTCAGCATTTGTAGACTAAAAGTGGTTAAAAGAAACTTCTAATCCTGGGCCTGACTACAACTTCTTATCCGTCCCTGACCCCTCACCATTTGCTCCCAAGTTTAGAGGCAAGTAAAAATATGAACTCTAGCAAGTTCTTTTAATTTCTGGAAGTGGTTTTTCATTTTAATATGTTCCATCCTACTGACCTCAATAAATGATAGTTGACCTGGAAAATACTGATTTTTTTTTTCTTCATCTTGGGTGGCAAAAAAGGGAAAGCATAACTTTCCAAGCTTCCAAATACCACTCTGTCCTCAAACTGAAAGAACTAAGATTTCTAATTTCCAACTGTGATGGTTTCTGAATTATGGCAGTCAATGGGAGATTAATCTATTTGAATTTACTCACTGCCACTGGTATAGGACTAGGGGAAATATTTACTGGCCTAAAAAATTACCAGCATTATGTACAGTTTTCCAAAGTGGGGTGTACCAGATGATCCCTGAGGTTCAGGAAGTAACTAGTAGAAACTGTACACATGCACATGAAGTTTTTATCTCACCATTCAAATTTTCTAGTACACAGCATACCAGAGAAATAGTATATTAGTATATATAATACATGAAACAGTTAAACGTGCACATGTTAAAGTTCTAACTTTATTGTTTGCCTTTGTTTCTGCTTATTTTTAGCTTGCTTCTCTTAGCTTTTATATATTGCCAGAGATAGCTTAATTTTTTTATTCTTCTTTCCCATGAAAAATTACCAGTCGTCTTGGTTTAGCTTGGCTCCACTATTTGTGTGAAAATCCTAATTGGTATTCAAACTCATGGGGAAGAGAGAGTCTTGCTGATTTTCCAACATACAAATATGAAAATTTTATCACTTAGATTGGCCAAGTTGGAAAATGTCTTGCTAATATTGATTCTGGCTACAGTATGGGATTTGATCCATTGAGAATACAATTACAAGGTCATATGCAATAACTTTCTCTTTTATACCACCACTCATTATCATCACACTCTGGATTTAGCCAGTCACCTGAGAAATTACTAATTCCTCTGATCTCTGGCTTGCATATAGTAGACAATGAATCACGCACATGTCAACAATTTAAACTCCCCTACCTTCCTTCCAGCCTGATAGAACCCCAACTTTGGATGAGTTCAGTGAGTTGTATTCCACTGCCTATGCCTAGGCTGACAGGTTAGGCTGGAGAAAACACACACAACTAAATAGACTAAATTCTGTCACCAATCTGGGACTTGTAAAAATCCGACTTTTTCACTAGTCAGCTGACTCAGTGAAAAAAAAAAAAATTTCCCTCAAACTGTCTTCTTTCCAAGGCTGTTTATTTTTCTTTTCCCTCCCCCACTTTACACAGATAAACTGCCTATTCATCAAGCCAGTGAAAGCTGTGACATCTTTACCACCAACACTACAGATCTGCCTGCCTTTTACCTATCCTCCATGCATTCCTTTCTGAAAGAATGCTGGTGGTCGCTTAGCTAAAGTATTCTTCTATCTGTCAAGTGTACATAATATCCTCCTGGACATATCAAGCACTTACTGCTACTATCCCTCTTTTCCTCTTATCTTTACTTTCACTTTCTACCTGCACTTTTACATCAGAATGAAAAACAGAATAAAACAGATCTCATGCAATAAATAAGATCTCATGTAATTAATTGAAAAAATAAAAGCCTTCTTTAGAAATCACATCCTCTTGCAGCTAACATCTTTTTCTACTCCCTTTCATAGCCAAATTTTTGTGAAGTTTTTAATTGCTGTCTCTATTCCAAATCCAATCAATCAAATAATTCTCTTGGCTCTACTTCCTGAATATCTCTCAACATCACTCATTTATCTGTATTCCTATTCTAATCCAAGTCATGATCATCTCTCCTTTGCCAGTAACTTCCTATCCTTCCTATATTCATGTTTGCCCTCCAGTCCTCTCTGCACAAAAACTAAAATGATATTCTAGAAACTCAAATCTCATTATGTAACTCCATCTTCAAAAATCTCAAAGGTTTTCTACTGGCTTAGGATGAAGTCCAGTTATCATCATCACAGTTTATATATGGTCTTATGGAAATTGGCCCCTATCTTATTTTAATTCTCTAACTTACCCTTCATTTCCTATGCTATTATCATACAAGTTTGTTCTCATGTAAGTTTGTTTTCACTTCCACAAAGTTTCTAAGGCTTTATCAACTTAGCGTACTCTGCCTGAAATACATCTCTAGCATTCACCTCACTCCTACTTTTCTTGTCTTTTGGGTTTCAGCTTAAGCTCACTTTCTCAGAGAAACCTTCCCTGATCCTTCCACAGTAGGTTAAGTCTTCTAGATATGTGCTCTCATTGTACCTTGTAATTCTCTTTGTAGCATTCACCATAGTTATTTACTTGACATTTATTATCCTGAAGAGATGTAAACTCCGTAAGGATTTCTGTCTTGTTCAGTGATTAATTCCCAGCACTCAGCTCACTGCTTGCAATAAAGCTTTCATACATTTGTTGAATGGTTAAATGAATGAAAGAAAGTGGATATTAAGAATATAAAACAGGGGCGCCTGGGTGGCTCAGTGGGTTAAAGCCTCTGCCTTCGGCTCAGGTCCTGATCCCAGGGTCCTGGGATGGAGCCCCACATTGGGCTGTCTGCTCGGCAGGGAGTCTGCTTCTCCCTCTCTCTCTCTGCTTGCCTCTCTGCCTACTTGTGATCTCTGTTTGTCAAATAAATAAATAAAATCTTTAAGAATATAAAACATGATAAAAACACATCCTTCACAGTGAGAACAGACCTTTTTATTCATATATTGAGATAAACTGCAGAGACTGAAAGACAAAAATTCATCACAAATCATTCAGCAGAACATTCATTAAAAATCAAATGCAGTTTCTTTAACAGAGTTCTCACACAGAAAATTTTATTTTATAAGTCTGATACCACATTAAGTATTTTACAAACCAGACATTTTTAAATCTAATTATATAATCTTAAATGCACTATAGACAAAGTAAGATCTCCTTTACCAGTTTCATTTCATTTAACTTACACAAGGCTTCCATTAAAATTTCATCACACCTTGAAAATTACCGCAGCTTTTTAAAAAACACATGATTTAAACCTTAAATGGAAGAAAGTCTTATGTAGCCATTGAAAAAATGAAAACAAAACAAAAATAGGTAAGAAGCATTTCTTAATATAAATACATTACAAAATATAACTTATGTGTGAGTTTCTTTCTTATCATTGGTATAGACAGCCAACTCAAAAACAATTCATTTTGAAATTGATGCTTAAAATACTCCAATGTCACCGGAAAACCTCTATTATTTTAGTGGTACTCTTAAATGGCAAAGTAGAATCAGACTGGAATGTCCCGACTCCTGTGCCAAAGTGAGTAAGACTTGCTCAAATTCATGCCGGGTGTCATCGCTGTGCAGTTACGAGACAGCTTGACAGCTTGGCAACCAATAATCCCAATTGTTCATAATAACTTACTAAACTAGACACTTTGAGAAACACTTCTTACCCCTACATAGTTCCGTTGCTAGAGACAGAAACATACAATTATATTTTGAAGTATGGGCCTTCTAATAGGAATCTCAGTTGTAAAATTTGAAAAGGATCAATGCAAAGAATTCACACCAATGAAATTCTGTGGAATGATTTTCAAAGTTAGAAATAAGAATATCCACTACTAATGGAAGCCCTGCTTTGTGCAAACATAGTGTGGTATATATTAAACAATCACACATTTGAGGTATTAGCTGGAAAAATATATATATATACACCTATACATAGACACATCCACAGAATATTCACAAGTCCATTGGCCCCAAAACCAGCAGATAATAAAATTAAATGAGAACGAATCACGTACCAACAGGAAAAAGTTACACACAGAGAACTTACAAAAAACGTGGTTATATAATCCTTAATATAAGGAGTATGTTTTGAAGTACTGTTTTGAGGGAAAATGTTTCCATTTATATGAAAGTGTCTCTAATAGTAATGGAAACCAAAAAGGAAGCCTGAATTCTAGGACTGTGTTGCCTGTCAGATTATTAAAGGGACATGCAAGAATTCCTTGAAGATCCTTTCTACTCACTTCTTTGTAATTACAAATTAGAACTTAAAAAGTTTTGTAGGTTACTGTTATACTCTTTCCTTTTTCATTGGTTTATAGAGAATTTTACAGATTTTAACTAGGCAATAGTCCAATGTAGCCAATAGACACATTTTTTAGCTATTTAGTAAGGATTAAAATTCTGATTAATTGTTCGTTTTCAGAAGTTTTCCTGTTCAGATAAGAAAAAGGATTATGAATGCCCTTTCAGTTTGCTTCACTCAGGATGAAGACAGATGGTAACATGAACCTAAGCTTCATGTGGGGAAGCTGAATAAATGCACAGATTCTCCTTTTGAACCATATGGTCCTATGAACCATATGGACGTAACACTTACTTAACTGGAAAGATGGCTCATTTGGTTCTCAGGTCAACATCAAAAAATATTTCACTGTTTTAACATGTGGGAGATTTTTTTTTTAAGGAAATATATGGGAATGCATTAATAATATGTCACAGTTATTAAATATAACAGCTGCATTTAAAACTATTACAGATCAACAAAGAAAAATTGGAGAGGGTAATCATTTCTCTCACTATACACTATTTTAAATACTAGTGAAGTTAAGATTTAACAAGAAGAAAACTTGAGCGTAAAAGTGCAATCACAGTAAAGGGCTGGACCTCTACATTCCTGTTCCTGTGAACACCTGAGCTGACACAAAAGTAGAGTGGCTTAATGCACTGGCAATATACATGCCTTAAGGATTTATTAGTCTATCAAATCTCTGTAAATTATAAAGAAAAATGCAGTGATTATGAAACAAATACTTATTTAAGCATTCAAATGAAATTTGTTCCCAAAATATATTGTTTTTATTAGATGGATTAAAACTTGAATTATTCTCATTGAGAATGAAATTCTCAGATTTGATCAAAACAAATTTTGAAGCTTATAAGCGACTAGCACCAGTCTACTTCGGAACTAAGGAACCAAAAAAGGAGGAGAAAAGGTACTATTTACTTTCCACCAAATCCTCACAAGGACAACATTCATATGTATGTGTAAAAAGAGATAAAAGTGTAAAGCATTAATAAATATAGTTGCTGCCAAACTTCTAAAATACCAGTTTGAAAGGCTAGTAAAGCAGCATTAAAAGACTGAGAGCTTTCAGGCAATGGTTAAAATGAACAGTACAACTTATCAAATGAAATTGCAAAGCTCATGTAGTAAAAATAAGATGGCAAAATGTTGGGATTTTTATTGTAAGAACAGCACACATGAAAACCTTAAATCTCAAGACAGGTCAAATCTTACTTTTTAGAATTAACACAAAATTCTCAGACTACTTGGTTGGGCCTTTACACCAAAATATAGATGACACTGAAGACTTAATCTTTCCTTGCATACTTTGTATGTGGTTTAAATTATCAGGCACTCAATCAGTTATTTCTCACAGTTGTTTGAAAATTTTATTTTATCAAACACATTTTCCCAAACATTTTACGAAATGTGATGGAATGCAGCAACGGAAATATAATACTGTCCAAAAGCCATATATGACTTTATAATCTATAACTTCACTTAACTTGATAACTTCATCTATCCTTATAAAGCCAAGATTAAGGGAAAAAGAATCACTCAACAGGAGTTCAATTCACATTAGCGTCAATCACAGTAGTGTAAATTTCCCATTATAAGTGGAAAAATAAATGGATGAAATTTTTTCATTTAAAGTTTTGTAAGTTTTCGGATGTATATGAATTTTTGAAGTGAGAATGCTATGAACTTATTTTCTAAAAATTCATTCTGCAGGCTCAAGAACATATTTAAATTTGTATTTTCTTTTAAGCACTGCTCTTTTTTTTTTTTAATTTAAAAGTTTCATTTCTAAAAGAAAACTGGTGAAGCTGTCCAGTTTTCCTAGGGCAGTATATTGTTTAGTGTAACTCACTAATTCATTCAGATATTTTTACTGATTTCACCTGGAAAGGGGGATACAAGAGAACATTTTAAAGAGAATGGACATTATAGCAGTTTTATTCAACAAATGCTATAAAATCAACTACAGTCAGAAAAAAAAAATCTCTAAACAAAAGAATACTACCACTAGAACTAGCATGCTTTCACACATACAAAAAATTACCAAAGATGCATTTGTGTTCCATTAACTGAGTATGAAGCAAAATCATTAAAAGATTAGAACTGATAAACATAGAAGACTAGAAATCAAATAGTTTCATACTCAATATACAGGCACCAAAAACTTCAATTTCCAGCTTATTTTTCTAATTTATATTATGGATTGAGTTACAGAGAGCTTACTCCTATAAGATTAATTGAATTCTCAATGGCAAATAGTTTTTAGCTCAGAATTTTGTAAGGATAACTTGCTATAAATCACTATTCTACCTGCTGCTATATTTCTGCTCACTGTTGCACGTGGCCAAATAGATCATGCTCTGATCAAGTAAGTGTGCTGTAATCTACTTATATGTTTAAGAGTTGGCAATCAGATTAAAAGGCACAAAGCTTCGATTTTGTAGTATTTTTCTCTTATTACTCATTTGTAGAAGAACCCATTTACTCTGGATCCTGCTCAAATGATCACTAAGATGAAACTAAAATTTCCAAGGGGGGCAAAACAGGTGGGTCCTCTTCTTCATAAATCTTAGCAGCCTTTAAAGACAGAGATAGAAACATGTGGTGGGGCCTTTGAATTACTGGAATTGCAAATTACATAACTTCAATTTACTGTTGAAGACCATTTTTGTTTAATATCTACATAGCCATTTCCTCATATTTTCTTTAAAATCTATCAGTATAGCATTTCATTTCTATGCATGGCTTAGCAATTCATAAAACTAAATAGCAAACTGATACTCTACACCAGTTCATGTATCTCAATATATATTCTGGAATATAATGGCAATATTAAAAATATCAATTCCCTCTAAGCTGATAATGCTACAAGATTTACACAGTTAAATAGCTTTTTGTTGTTTCTTTTCTTTTTGAAAAAGTTTCATTGCTTAAACTCCACAACCATTTGACATCTGACAAGAAGAACGTAATTTTGTCACAGACCATGTATTCTATCAGTTTAAACTAAAGTGTCTCATGGAATTAAATGCTAAAAGAATTTAAATAAAAATGCAGTAACCCATATGTGCACAAAATGATCATTCCATAAATATTTACATGACCAAAGGAAACATGAAGAATCACTAAAACTGGAAACGGCTACAGGTGTGATAATCCTTTCTCAAGACATTTTTAGTTAGGAACAATATAAGCTTTTAAAGTGAAAATAATTGCCAGAAGCGTAACTAAAACATTAATTTTAGTTTTCAGTTCCCTACTAATTAAAGGAGTCAGTAGGTCATAAACAGTCCAAGATTTCAGGGACCAACTATTCAGTTTAGTTTTTAACATCCAATCTTTTTCTTTAGCTTTCATGATAAAACTAAACTTACTTACAGAAAAAATAAAGAGTACGCTAAAAGGTATAAATACAATCCCAGTTCATCCTCCTTTATAAATACTGGTCAGCCGCTCCAATTCTTTACAGTTGTCCATGCTCAAGGCGTCTGCCTTCCTTCGAAGCCGATCATCACGGTATACTTTTGCTGCATACTGCATATCTGTTTCTGTTAACAAACAAAAATATTTTGCTAAGTAGATAATAATTTAGGTCACCTAGCTATTTAAGCTGAAATGCTGTTTAATAGAAACCCTTCAATATTTCAGTATTTCTATTAACTGACTTTAAAAAAAAAAAAAAAAGAAAGAAATCCAAGTATTGCTCTAAAAGACTTTGGAAGCCTAGCATGTAAAACAAACAGAGAGCTATTCTGGGAAAGAAATGAAAATAAAACCCTATTAACCCAACACTTTCTCTCACTCCTGTCCTCAATGGTTTAAAACCTAGTGCTCTAAAGAAGCATCCTCTTGACCTTTCATACTAAAGATAAATTATATGTTATTCAATCCTGCTAGTGGTTGTTTTGCTGTGACCTCTTGTTAAGGTTTCAATTAATTATGCCAGAACTTGAGTAGAAAAATTTGGAATCTTGTCCTGAGTTTGCTTGAATTAAAAAAGAAAATCTTACTGAAGGAACACAAAAGGGAAAAAAGCTCACTATAGAATCACAATAGTGTTATTTGGCAAATGAGTACTTCTGAGACTTCCTTCAGTATGTGGGTAGCATTACTAAAGAAAAATAAATGGACTATATATCTTTAGGGAATGGTTCCTTGCTCTCTTCTGTTACTCTCAGTCATCTCACTGTTTATTAACACTTCCAAAGGGTGGGGCACTTAGAAAAGATGTAACAAGACCCAGTAAAAAAGTTGGTTACTTTCTGGAAATCAAGGGCCAAAGTAAAGGACATCAGTCAGGACCACATTCAAAATATACTCTCAGCAAAAGTATATCCTCTTTTTAAGGATCTTCAGAAATGACCTTTTATTCAGTCAATCCAGCTAGGATTTAACAACTCAATCAAAATTTCAAAATTGCTCCATTCCCCGCCCCCTGTGCTTTACCTTTGGGAAAAATTAATTAAATTAAAAAAAATTTTTCCATTAACGTATAATGTATTATTTGCCCCAGGGGTACAATTCTGTGAATCATCAGGCTTACACATTTCACAGCACTCACCATAGCACATACCCTCTCCAATACCCAACGACCCTATCTCTACCCCTCCCACCCCCCAGGAACCCTCAGTTTGTTTTGTGAGATTAAGAGTCTCTTATGGTTTGTCTCTCACCTGATCCCATCTTGTTTCATTTTTTCCTTCCCTACCCCACTTCTCAAACTCCTCATATCAGAGAGAGCATATGACAATTGACTGATTGACTTATTTTACTCAGCATAATTACCCTCTAGTTCCATCCATGTCATTGCAAATGGCAAGATTTCATTTCTTTTGATGGCTGCATAGTATTCCATTGTATATATATCCCACATCTTCTTTGTCCATTCATCTGTTGATGGACATCTAGGTTCTTTCCATAGTTTGGCGACTGTGGACATTGCTGCTATAAACATTCGGGTGCATGTGCCCCTTCGGAACACTACACTTGTATCTTTGGGGTAAATAACCAGTAGTGCAATCGCTGGGTCATAGGGTAGCTCTATTTTCAACTTTTTGAGGAAACTCCATACTGTCCTTCAGAGTGGCTGCACCAGCTTGCATTCCCACCAACAGTGTAGGAGGGGTCCCCTTTCTCCGCATCTTTGCCAACATCTATCATTTCATGACTTGTTAATTATTTAGCCATTCTGACTGGTGTGAGGTGGCATCTCATTGTGGCTTTGATTTGTATTTCCTTGATGACAAGTGATGTTGATCTTTTTTTTTTCCATGTGTCTGTTGGCCATCTGGATCTTCTTTGAAGAAATGTCTGTTTATGACTTCTGTCCTTTCTTGATTGGATTATTTGTTCTTTGGGTGTTCAGTTTGATAAGTTCTTTATAGATTTTGGATACTAGCCCTTTATCTGATATGTCATTTGCAAATATCTTCTCCCATTCTGTCAGTTGTCTTTTGGTTTTGTTAACTGTTTGCTTTGCTGTACAAAAGCTTTTGATCTTGATGAAGTCCCAATAGTTCACTTTTGCCCTTGCTTCCCTTGCCTTTGGCGATGTTTCTAGGAAGAAGTTGAAGAGATTGCTGCCTGTGTTCTCCTCAAGGATTTTGATGGGATTCCTGTCTCACAATGAGGTCTTTCATCCATTTTGAGTCTATCTTTGTGTGTGGTGTAAGGAAATGGTCCAGTTTCATTCTTCTGCATGTGGCTGTCCAATTTTCCCAACACCATTTGTTGAAGAGATTGTCTTTTTTCCATTGGACATTCTTTTCTGCTTTGTCGAAGATTAGCTGACCATAGAGTTGAGGGTCTATTTCTGTGCTCTCTATTCTGTTCCATTGATCTATGTGTCTGTTTTTGTGCCACTACCATACTGTCTTGATGATTACAGCTTTGTAATAAGAGCTTCAAGTCTGGAATTGTGATGCCACCAACTTTGGCTTTCTTTTTCAACATTCCCCTGGCTATTCGGGGTCTTTTCTGGTTCCATATAAATTTTAGGATTATTTGTTCTATTTCTTGGTAAAAAATTGGCTCCATCCCCTTTATTTGAGGCACTTGTAAAATCCTTTTGCAGATGCGTCTTCCCAGATGAGATAGATAAACCCAAATTCACAGAGCTAATCAATGACAATTTAGATTCTAAGGCAAACTTCCAACTCCTAACACGATATTCTTTCCATTACTTCAAATTACTGCTTGTATTTTATAAAATACCTATTATATCAATCTAGACATTAGAGAGTGTTAGAAATGACTGCAAAATGGAAAAACACTGGTTAAAAAAAAAACTCTATTGGCCAACAACATTTTGATGACATTAATTTATAAAACAAGATGAGTTCATTCTAATAAACAAGTAAAACATTCAATCAGTGGATTAATTAGTGTTGTATTGAGTTCCTCTAACTTCCGTCTTCATTTAAAACCCCTAACCTCTAGAGGCACCTGGGTAGCTCAGTTGGTTAAGCATCTGCTTTCGGCTCAGGTCATGATCCCAGGGTCCTGAGATTGGGCTCCCTACTCAGCATCTGGCTCCCTGCTTCTCCCTCTCCTTCCCGCTTGTGCTCTCTGTCGCTATCTCTGTCTCTCTCTCTCTCAAATAAATAAAAATCTTAAAAAAAATAAAAAAACTCCTAACTTCTATATGTTCTGAACTTTTAAAGTTCTATTTTGAAAATTTCAAGGGGTGCAGGGTGGCTCAGTTGGTTATGTGTCTCACTTCGGCTCAGGTCATGATCTCAGGGTCCTAGGATCTAGTCCCAAATTGGGCTCCCTGCTCAGCAAGGAGACTGCTTGTCCCTCTTCCCCTACCCCTGGCCTGTGCTCCATCTCTCTTTCTCTCAAATAAATAAATAAAATCTTACAAAATTTTTTTCAAACCAACACAAAAATTAGGAGTAATACAATGAACACTCTAAAACTCTTTACCCCTTGATTGACCAATTCTTCACATTTTGTCAAATTTGCTTTACTCTCTCTATAATAAAAGCTGTTATTATTGTGGTGGTTATTATTATTTTGCAAAACCTTTTGAGAATAAGGTGTGGACATCATACCTTTCATTCCTTATTACTTCAACATGTTTCTCATAAGAACAAGGACATTGTCTTACATTACCACAAAACAATTTTCAAATTCAGAAATTTAACAATACTATAATTCTATTATCTAATATATAGTTCATATTCATATTTCGCCAGTGGCCCCAGTGATGTGCTTTATAGACATTTCCTCCCCTCCCCACCCATGATCCAATGCAGGATCAAATGTTGTACTTAGTTGTCTTTTCTTTTTAGTCTTTAATTATGTCTTGTTCCACTGACATTGTTGAATATAAGCAAGTTATTTTATAAATAATGACTTAATAAAATCAGATTTAGTTAAAACTTCTGATAGTAACTTTAAAAAACACACATATAATTGTGTACAATATAGCTGTCGATAGCTTGGTATAGTAAACAGAACACAGATTGAAAGTCTGTGGAATATTAACACCAATCTTGCCAAATGATTAGAAGATTAAAGTATGCCAGGCAAAAACACTTGGCTTATGGTATGGATAGAAAAAAAAAACAATCAGAGTAAGTAATAATATTGAACACTTACTGATGCAGGATATTATGCCAAGTGGTAACGTGTATTATCTGTTACAATCCACATTTTAATGATGACATAAGTGAGATATGGAGAGGTTAACTAACTTGTCTTAGGTAACATGTGGTTGAGCCAGGATCTTATGTTGCAAGGCAGCCTCAGAGCCTGCACTTTGGCCATAACATTATACTATCTTCCATAAATATGAATATCTTTTCCCTCCTTCTTTCTATTTATATAGTCAATGTCCCAATTATTTAAGGTAATAGGATTTAAGTATGCATAATCCAAAAACCGCCGCTATTTGGCTGAAGATTAGAATTTGTATTCAAAAGGTAATTATTTTTTTATTTTTTATAAACATATATTTTTATCCCCAGGGGTACAGGTCTGTGAATCGCCAGGTTTACACACTTCACAGCACTCACCATAGCACATACCCTCCCCAATGTCCATAACCCCACCCCTCCAACCCCCCTCCCCCCATCAACCCTCAGTTTGTTTTGTGAGATTAAGAGTCACTTACGGTTTGTCTCCCTCCCAGTCCCATCTTGTTTCATTTACTCTTCTCCTACCCCCTTAACCCCCCATGTTGCATCTCCTCTCCCATAAGTGACTCTCAATCT